ACGGTACTCTTGCAGAATTAGATAGCTGGAGACAGAAACTAGGTGCTGCTTTAGTTATAAATTTGGTTATAAAAGTAATAAATGAAGTAGACATGGTTATCGATATAACTGTTGATGTAGACATTAGAATTATTAATTTGTAAACAAATCAACATGACAATTGTCTGCTGACAACGTTGCTTTGACAATAACTGATCAATTGAAATGTGTTATATCTCGTGTATTCTGAGATGAACCTACATCCACTTGTTCACCATTTCCTTAACATTTAAACAGAAGTAATTTAATAGAAGCGGTATATTATTAGGTTACTACTCATCTACAATGAATAATGTTCAATTCTCCGCTGAGCGCGCGAACTGTCACATAAATTATGCGACAATCATAAAACGAACAATGATTTCGTTTTAAAATTTATTTTCTAGCTGCAGAGGGTAAGTGACCGATGATTCAGCACCAATGTCCCGTAAACTCTGTTCCAAGAATACCCAAATATAGAAATAGAAGTATACCTTAAGATTATCTACATAAAGTAGACAATTCAATGTAGGCAGTTCGATCTAGGATGTTACGTTCTGTCAACGCCAGGTCTATATCGGTAGCCGGGGCAGCCCTCCCCCCTTCTCGGATGGCCGTCGCGTACTATTTATTCCGCGCCCCCTACTTTTAGCGACTCATTGAGTAAATCTGTAGGGAAATCATAACTCGACACTCTCTACCTATTGACTGCTCGTTTGATTTGTTGGACCAATGTAAAACATGACATCGGATAAAATGATTTTTGGCGAATAGATTCATTTATTTTATAAGTGTAAAATGTATTATATCAAGTATAATAATTTCCAGATTCATCACTAACTCGAAATTCTTAATGGCCAGTAGTAACTTTAAAAGCTCTAGTTTTGATTTCTACTAAACCGTCGATATATTTAGGCTTTTGTTTGACAATGTTTATAAAGATTGTGTTATTTTAAATCAGTGTATTGTAAGTATCAGATAACAGACGCGTTAATGGCAAACATACAGACCGGCGCGGTAAGATGATACAGACGCGCCTCAGCGATCTCCATTATCAACTGACACTTGTTTGACAGCCGTTTGACAACAGTTTGACAGCTGTTTGACAGCGCACTCGCGGACGATAGCGGATAAAGCGCCTCAGTGCAACTTAAGAGCTTGATATCAGTGGTGTTTTACTTTAATGTATTTTAAAATTAAACGGGTTAATCGTTGAGAGTTAACCACTTATTGCCTCATGACCCATGACATGAGACACACTTGTCAGCATCTCTAAATTTAAAGTCTCCTTAGCTACCGTTTATTATGAAAATGGTATTTTATAGAAACAACATATTTTTGAAAACCCCTATTTTATTGAGAATACGCTAACAGCAGAATACGCATGTTTTCATAAAAATACCGCTAGGAAACTCACATTGGATATTCCTGGATTTGTTTCTTCATACCACGTAGATATTTAACTATGGAATGTAGCACCTTTATGTTCATTACTCTCGGCTGAGCGGAGCGGGCGCGTGTCCGTCCGTACAATAGCGCCTTCCGCGAAGGACCCCTACCTGTCAGCCACAATAACTGTACAGCCTATTCAACCCCCAACCCTCCGTCTATTCAACTTAAGTGATTTCATGAACTCATACAATAAAAACGTACGTCAACTTGAGTGCGGAACAAAGATCTTGTTAAATAATTAAATAAATACATTAAAAAATAATGACAGTCTCTCAGTTGACTGATTTTACCTGATATTATGTCAAGATCTCAGTGTAATATTCATTCATTAATTTGATAATCTCTTAACTCTTGTATTCACCTACGTATTATCCAATTGATAAAGCTTTGAATATATCAATCCAAATTACCTATCTATAGAGTCTGTTCGATCATTGGCAAATCCAGCCTATTTGAAACGTTCTTTTACGTTCAAATAACTTAAGGAATCATCGCATCGCATCGAAATCATGATTATGTGACAGTAGTGTTTTCCAGAAAAAATAGAGAATAGATTAATGAAGGATTATCTCGTGCGTCTGTCCGGTGCGTCTCCCGCGCGCGTTATAAATAATGCGTGTGCGCGTGCGCGTTGCTACAGGCGATCATGTGCACCGTTACTGATGCCTCTGACAATATATAGCGATATAATGCAGTTACTAGAAAACATAAACAAGAAGGAAGTCAATCTAATTGTAGAATAACAGTAGCATAATACTTGTAGTTAGTATAAGAAATATATTTTGTGTATAAAACGATCAAAAATGCTATATTTTCAAGGTCATATATCACACACTAATATGTTACTCTGGTTATAATTGTTAATTATGTCATGTTTGTGAATAGTGTCCTTGAGTGCGGACTTGGGTCATTCGCCATTGACCGACAATTTATTGAACTATAATTTCCGTTTGATACTCTCTCAGTATCACATGGACATACGAACTTGAATCTTTTTTAATGTACAATGTGTAATTTTTTCTTTTTTTAGGATTCCGTATCTCATAGGAAAAAAACGGAACCCTTATAGGATCACTTTGTTTTATACTGAAACTACGTATCCACGACTACTGTTTACTTATACAATATTAATTAAATATTTAGTAATGATTTAAAAACATTTTCGATAGTAGTAGTTAATGTAAATTCGCATATTCACAGCACTGCTAATAACGTAATCATTAGATGCAAATATCGTCGGTCTCCTGCGAACATAGCGCCACTATACTAAGTACCTACTCTACAAGTCTATTCACAGACTAATTGAGCGATAAACTAATATTCTCGAGGTCTAAAATGTGATCAAACATCATAACTTATTCCGTTATCATCCTATGAATAAATTCCTTGTCGTGTGCAGATTCATTCATTAAATTGTAGTTAATTAAAAGGAAACTTTCCAAACTGTTAATACCGAGTCTGTGTCAGTATCAAACTAAGGGTAAGAACATGAATCAAATGAACACCACAGCCGACAGTCCAATTCTGTAGATGCATTTCATCCATAACTTGACGGACTAGAATTAGTCAAAACACGCAAAACATTTACACTTGTGTTAGCCAGACAAAATTATAATTATTCCAGACCCTATAAAATATCGTAGTAAGTTAACTTGTACAAGTCTTAGTTACATTTTATTTTCGAACTTAATGACTTTCTAAGTCTTTTACGGAGTCCACAAACATCGCTTCCATGTCCTCAGATATCCAACCACCATACAACTGTTAGTTAGTACTTGGAGTGTTGTTATCACGGAACAATCGCTGTATAATTTGCTTCAGATAACGCCAGACTAATTACTTCACGGTGAATGTTCAATTGAATCAAGTTGCAGTAAGTTATCTGAAAACACTGGTGTTACCATGTGATACAGTCCAGATTAAAGCTCTCACCTGTAATTTTAATATGTTAGGGTGTTCTTTGAAGTATCTTTAAGTTAACTTCATATATAATTGGTACCAATATAAGTAACTACGATGGAAAGTGGTTAATATTCTTTTTTCCTTTATTTAATTCCTTAAATACTTGATATGACAATGCATGAAACATCTGAGACGTTTTTCTTATTCACGTTTTTGTTTTAAAAATCATTAAAGTAATATTTAAATCCAAAATAAGATTATAATAAAATCCTGGTCGTATTTAATAACGAAAAGATTTACGTCTCAAGGCGCTTGTTTTTGTTTTTTTCGATGTTACAATAGGCAGCAGGTGGGCAGTTGATCTGGCGGACAGGACATCCTGTGCACTCACTTTTGGATGAATTGAACAGACGAGCTGTTGATTTTACAAACACGCGTCGTGGGAGTGTAAACTAGTTAAAGGTTCCATCGAACTTCATTAAGTCAAAAGGAACAAAGACAACATTTTTAGAGTGTTTTGAGAAAAAATTTAACTTGTTTAATGAATCAAAATACACTTCCTGTATCCTTACGAGGCTAATTAACAAATGAAGTTTAACAGATAGAGACGTATTTTATGGATTGTGTAACATTAGTGCAACTCATCGGTTTCCGAAACCAAAATCTTATTTATAGTATAAAAGTTTAATAATATTCTATATGGATGGATGTTTGTATGAAGCTATCTCCGGAACGTTTCAAATGTAGAGCATAGTCTGGAAAAACACATAGGCTACTTACATAGTTTTTTAAGTCCGCGTGGACGTAGTCACAGGCGACTCCTAGACTCTGTATGAAGTCATCCCTCTCATTATCTTTGATATAGAAATAACAATTAATTTTTTAATGATTATTTATGTTATACTTTCTTACGTTTAAAGTATACATATTTCAACACTTATGCAAAACTGCTGATCATATCTATTGCAAATTTTATTAAAATTCTGCACTCATTATAACAGCACTGGCGTCAAATGTAATTATGCATTTATAAGCGCACGAGAACATTTCAGGCTCGCGACCGGTTACTTTGGAAATGTCTGACGCCGTCAGTAAATCGGTGAGCTGAATTATGACGGGGTTGGGCAAGGTATGACACGATTAGGCAACAAGAGCTATTTTATTGATTAGATCCTGTGACATATTTGCCAAATTCCTTTTAAGGTGTTTTTAGACTCTATTGGTTGACCGCGACTTTAATCCTATAATTACATACTTTGAGCTAAAGTATAATTTTACAAAATGAAGTGCAAATTAGATGATTTGTTTTAAAAGTAAAAAAAAAATAACTTGAATGTGTGATATGTTGATGAGACTATTATATGTAGAGAAAAATCAAATTGTACGATGTTGTTAAATGATTTAATTGTATAGTTTAGACTTGCTTAAAATTATGCCCTCAATACATAATAAAATTTATTAAAACCGTTGAATTTTATTATAATCTTCAAAAAATTTAATGAGAGAGTTAAAACTTTTTATCGATGTTGCAGCTTCCTGTTAAGACATGTCAGTTTTCCATCTTTTTGTAAAAGCTAAAGCTTTCATATTTAATAAATAAGGCTTTCGTAAAGGTTTAGGTTTCTCACCAGGCTTATGATGTTTGTGTTTCTTGCCCTTGCCAGCGACGGCCGCCGCGAGCACCACCAGCAGCCCCCAGCGCCACCTCATCGCTCCACCATCACACAACACACACACAACACACCAATCCTACCTATTTATTAACTAAAATATAAAAAAAAAAAACAAACTCTCCGTGATTTCTCAATCAATGAAATTCTATACTTATTATTTCCAGTTTATCTATATATATTTATTTTTTTGAGGATAAGGTCTTAAAATAAATGTTTTAGATACGAAATTTGTAACGTAAAATACCGCGAAACTTTTCCCGTGAGCAAACACGCACCGTCCAGTCTCAGAGATGTGTTACTACTGAGCAAAGTGTACCGCATTCACTGGACCGAACAATAAGCTAAGAAAGCTTTGCCCGCTTTAAAGTTTGATTCCTTTTACGAAATTACGAAAGTACAAGTATAGAAAATAAAACTAAGCACTCCTATTTTCAATTTTAGTTTGAGTTTCATTTAAAAATATTCAGTTACATTGATTAATTATAAATTAAAATATTTACATTAAACTTTCTAAAAGTTTTGATGTTAAAAGCTCGGGTTAGTAATTTACCTATCGGATAAGAGATGGCGTTGGAGATACTCACAGATGTTCCAAGTTGGGAAAGTTGACAATAGATGTCGCTATCGCAAAATAAAGCGAGCGGCGGCAGGGATATGGGTGTATTAACGGCAATCTTTTCTCACTTTGCAAGAGTTGTGTTTATTATTGAGTTTATTTACGTGGTTAGAAACGATCGCAAGCTTGAAACGAACTCCGTTTCGTTCCACCGACACCAACAGATGGTAAAACAGTAACAGAGGCAAATGCCTATTACCTCACTTATTACCAACATCACAACGTAGATAATATTGATAATCGAGTATTGATATTAGTGAATAATGTATCTGATTAATTTACTAATTGCTTGAAGCAGGCTGTATTCTTTTTTCCCAATATTCATAATCCTTCGTACTCTGTTTATACCACAACTGGCACCTAATTATTTTGCCTTTGTGGTGAAAATGTGTCGGTGGTTAATAGTGGGGTTTAACATTGTTTGAATTTACTTGTATGGGCTATCTTATTCACCAGACAGGATACAAGGATACGGAGGTTTGCGTTTTACTATGAGTAAAATATTTTGGATAAAGTAGTCAGGTAGAAATGATTAAAATTTTTATAGATTTCTATTTATTTGGCAGTTTACAATTCCTTTACATGTAACTTCATACAAATAGATCATAATCCAATGAATGCTTTCAACACATGACCGGGCAGTGGGTGTGGGGGTCGAGAGGAAAGGGGAGGGGGAAACGGGCGCAGTGAGCCGGCGCTGTTGTCAGTAGTAACAACTCAATAACATACGAACAATAAGCCAAAAATGTTTAATGTCATATCGATAAATTTACATTGCGGTTATCGTAACACCAAAAACTGGACACCCACGAGACGCGGCGCGGTGCGGCGCGGCGCGTCTCTCGCTAAACGAGTAAAAATCACCTAAAAAAAATCCTCGCTAAAATTAAGTATTACATATACATACAAGATACGTTCGGATAGATCACTCGGTACGGTGTGAGGGCGGCCGGAAGTAAACGGCCGCCCTCACACCGGTCGTACTGTCGTGTCGTGTCGGTGTAAGTACAGTCTCTCGCGCCCGCGTGTCGCTGCATGTCGCGCGACGGAGCGCATCGTGACCCACTCGTGAGACCACAAAGCCCGCACCGGCCGCAGCAAGCTGATGCCCGACACCCTCTTCAGAAGTGTTCAGAACCAACCCCTCAATTACACAAACTTGAGCCCGACAAGATACGCGGCACACCGCAGCATTGCACTTTTATCCTGTAATTTCCAACGGCGCAACGCCCATCGCGCCGGGCTCCTGATATGTTCAATGCGAAGCACTCGCAAAATTAAACATTATTATTATCATCATCATTTGATATGTATCTCTACGTCACTATACAGGCTCGATATAATCTATAATAACTATCTAAAAGTGATATGGCGAGGGGTTCGTCTCGCGGGTCGCTGCAGCCGGCGCGGGTGCGTCAGAGTGAAATGACGCGACGCGTTTCCACCTGCAAATGCGCAATGTTTTTATTTCACACTTTAATTTAACTTAGAAAATAAAATATTATTGCGCTTTCAAGATTATTTTGTTATGTTTTAAGTTGTATTGTTGTCAGTCAGAATTGAACTGTTATGGTGGTGAAATGCATCGCGTCACATCACGCGATATTAACTATAAACTCTTAAATCGTCAACATACAAACTAAATACGGCAACGTGTCACGTCTAAAAGATTGGCCCCTACTTCGTCAATAACATTGCATAAGTATGAATGTCCACAAAAAGGACCGTCGAGTACAATAACGCCTAAAATATTTCTCTTTCGAAGGCTTGAACCTCGCAGCAGGAGAATTATGTAATCTGTTTATAATATTATTGCATTTCAGTATTATCTATAAACTAGTATTAATGCCATTTAGTACAAAATATGTATGCAACATTATCGCCAGTCGACCAGGGGCCTTTCCAAATATTCATACAACTCGAACGCTTAAAGAACACAACATCGCGTCGCGAACGCGCGATGTGCGTTTGAACACATTTGTCATCCTACTCTAAACCAAAACCATCGTAACACGTGAACCGGTTCGCACTTCTCCGATCAGAAACTGAAATATGTTGCGTCGTAAGTGACGCTTCTCAGCCGCGCCCGAAGACGCGACTGCAAACGAAAATCTGTCGCATTATGAATAGAACACGTGACCGCGTCGCGCGACTATGCGCGTGCGACACGGGGGAGGAGTAGTGGGGGCCGGTACGGCGCCCCCGCCCTGCGGGCCCGACCGGGCCGCCTCAGACGAACCACTCGTCCTTGTGCGGGGCGGCGCTCAGCGCTGTGCGCTCGCCCGCAGGCGGCCCGGACGCGCCGCGTTGTACCCGCGCGGGCCCGCAGGGAGCGCCCAGTTTCCCGGCAGCCGCGTGTCGCCAGGGCAGGCCGGCGGAGATTCGCCGCCCGCCGGCTTGCCAGCCGACCCGGCGCCGTTGCTGCTCGCCATCTGTGCCACTGCAACATTAACATTCAAACTAAACTAAAATTACACGCTTCTCATTCATATCGTCAAGAACTGCAGGTGATTAGGTGCCCTTGGTTTAGGAGATTTTAATTGTCCTCTATTAATAAACAAATATTGTAAAAGTGCATTAGCCTTGCAATATCGAGTTAGGACTATTTAGAAGAAAGAGTATTTTAAGTATGAGTTGTTCGGGGGATCGATAATAAAGGGAAACTTACAATGTAGATGTGTGCGGCGCGATGGTGTTCTCCGGCGGCAATAGCAGCAGAGCGCCAGCGCGGCGGCGGCCAGCGCCAGCGCCCCGCCACCCGCCGCACCCAACAGCCACAGCCCACCGCCGCCAGCGCCCCCACTCTCTACACACATAATTATATTTAATTTAGATGTCAAAAGCTATAACAAACCATCCATCCGACAGAGCTCTGTAGTAGCATCCGCGCTTTGTCTTTTCACTCGTCGACTGAGTGCAGAGCGATAAACTCGAGAGGGAAAGGAAACAAGATCTGAACGCAAAACTAGCTAACAATCACTAAAGTCTCATTTTGTTTAAAGGGTTCGGAATATAATTAAGACGTTTTAATTATCTTTTAATTTATCGTAATTAGTATAGTATTATTGCATAAAACATATCCGTTAACGAAACTTGTGAACAAGAATAACGAAAATATAATATTCCATTTTTAATTTAAATTGAAAAACTTTGCAAAGACAATGTTTTAGTATTACAATAGCCTACAATGGAATACAACAACGGCAAAAGAAATGCAAAGCAGCGCGAACTTTCCTTGATTAATAATATCAAATGACAGAGCAGAGCGTACGCGGACCGGAGTCCGCTTCACTCATAAATATCGGGATTATTATGAAACAAGGCTATTAAACTGTAGGCTGCACATTCCTTCGGAGCGCCTGATGATATTACCTTTTATTAATGGTCTACGATATTGCTTTTTTAAAACTCCAGGCACAATATTTAAAGCTTCCATATTTTTAAATGACAGTCTCTTTATATTAGTCATAATGTTCAATTTAAGAATATTAGTTGATGGAGTCGCGCAAGGATATTATAGCAGCATATCTAGTACAGTGATGTAAAATCAAAAGAGTGCATCTCTAACAGCTTTATATATATGAGAATATACTAGTCAAAGTCAGGTATAAAATCAAAATTAGTGTAAATGTTTGATACTGAATGTGTGAAACTGAAAATCCTAGATTTAAAATGTAATATTGAATGTAAGGCGTCTCTCGCTAATTCTCGCGGCATGTGCTCATTATGTGCAATTAACCTGATTTTATTTCATTGTTAATATTTGGAGTCGTAAAAGCAAATTGTTTGGCAGAGCTCGTGTTGGCGTATTCCCAACAAATATTAACGTTATAAAGTTATGAATGACGTTCATTTTAACTTCGGTTTACGATTTGTTTACATTACAATAGTAAATTGTCACGTTTTTCACCTTTGTTAAAAATTTGTTTTCGACTACCAATATCAATTTTTACATAAAATAAACACTTATGCCAAATACATACCCGCATCCTGTAACTATTACACTCTTCGCGATTCTAGACATAGTTCTCGCAGTTTCTCCTATCACGAAAAAAAATATTTAAAAAGGGTTTGAAGTTACCTACAATAGTTATTACAGTCAGAGCTTGTTTCAGTAAAGCAGAAGACAACAAAATAAAGTAAATCTGTTAAATAATTAGCCAGTTTTGTTTTCGAACTTCTTTATTTAAGGTTAAACGTTTGTATAGCTATGTATGGTATATCAGTTAGTACCGGGGCAGAGGGCCGCGGTGTCCTCGTCGGAGCCGTCGGCGCAGTGGTCGACGCCGTCGCATGCGAGGTCAGCGCTCACGCAGAACTCGCGCTGCTTGCACCGGAACTCCTTGCACCCGTGTTCTGGAACCGCAGTGCACACATATTGGAAGGTAGCATATGTATTCATATCTTCCACATTGTAAGGCCTCTAGCACACAGTAGCGACAGCGATCGGGATGCAAGGCGAATTAATGCTAAATTCACATATAAATTGGTTTCGCTTTGGTCCCGATTCGCTTACCCCGTAGTGTGTTAGAGGCCTAAGTAATCTAACTTGTAGTCAAGGCGATATATTTTTATCAGATAATAGTATATAAGAGCGGTTTCTCGAAGGTCTATCCAATTTAGTAATAGCGACACTATCTGTGCGCAGGTCTTCCATCAGTGTCCGACCTTTTTCCACACGCGACAAAACTTTCCTATCTCATTATAGTTATATTTGTTTGAATCATTCCTCTCTCTAGTTCGTTTATAAATTATAATTTATTGAAAACAACGATAGTAAAAAATTCAACTAAAAACTTGTAGTTTTTGTTTCAACATACAAGTTATTATTTTGACATAAATGTGATTATAATGATATTGTTATTTCCTGAATAAAATAAAAAAAAAACATGAGCAATTTAAAATCACGATGACCTTATTATATCTTATCGTAATTATACACTTGTCAATTTAAAATTAATTGTTTAGATTACATTGTATCCTATATATAAATAATATCTTGCATCGCATGTTTCCACAGAGTATAAATATTTTAAGGTCATCAATGAGTATTGAAAGTATCATCAGTGATGCGGTTAAAGAGGTAAAAGTCAGACAAACGCTTCGGCGCTCTTGAACCGAAGGTCGATTATAAAACTCCGTCCAATCGAGCACATGAAAAGCTCTGATCGCTTATAATCTTTATTTCCAAGCTTAGACGAGGCTCAGGGGACGGGGATTAGAAGGGGTGGCACCCTCGAAGCTTTTGATATTGTCGGGAGGGGGCGCTCGCGGCGACGGAGCGTATGAACGCATTGTTTAAAGTTTTATTCGGTCGTTGGTGACGCGGCTCTTGTAGGATAATTCAATGGTACTGGTACATGCAGGCGGGAAGTCTTTGTACTGCGTGCGTCTCGAGGCGCGGAGGTATCTTTCAAATTGATCGCTCTACAAAAAGCTTTGCTGGGTGGAAAGTAATGCTGCAACAATGTAGAATATATTGTGGAAAGTCAGTGAGCGAGGAAAGATAATGTAAAAAATCTATTCTATGAAATTAAAAGTCGTCTTTTCATTTTATTTTATATTAAACATATCTGATTTCGTTTGATCCGACAGGAATCCAATAAAAGCAGGTTATAAAATATCACAAACGATTGCTACAATTCGTCTGTCTGTATAAAAGATATCGACAACTGAGAAGGTGCGAAAAGTCGTTAAATCGAAGCTTTCATCGACAAAGGTCAATATTTTATTGCGTATTTTTCCTTATTAATTTCCTCCTTCGGGAATCGGCTCCGGAACTCATCCGAATGCGACGCTCACACGAATAAAAATATTATTTCACCGATCGAGTTTCGGATACTTCTAAATGCCAAGCTTTATGTCCTCCATAAAGGCGTCCAATAACTTTATTTCTAAATTTTCTTAAGAACGTTTGGTGTAGGAAAAGAAAATATTTGGGAGAAAAATTCATAAATTATATAATAGATGTAAGTTAACTCAAAGGAGTATAATGCTTCGAAATCGGAAATAGTATTATAATTAATCATTTTAAAAAGATTTTGTTAATTTTTTGGTTATTATAATTTTTCTCCAATTGAACAGCAAGCGGAAGCTGGGCGCAGTGGCGCAGTTTGGCGAAATTAAGCCTAATGCGGTAAACGCTAAGCCACTGAGCCTGTCGTGGAGAGGTTAACTTCTAAAGTTCTTTCAAATTAAAATTCTTTAAATAGAGATAAAAGCCAATACGTAACAAAAAATGAATTGCAATCCGATATCCAAGTTGACAGACAAATATAACAAATATCGAAGGAAGCAAACTTTAGGTAACAAAAAGTTGACCCAAAAGCAAAGTTTACGTGACAAATATGATTACGATCCCGATTTTCCTTCTTACCCAGACACTTCTAAGTCTTCGCAACAAGTTGAAAGTCCCTTATAGTATACTTTAATCACTGAGGCGGAAAATGTAACTGGCGGGAATACAAACAGTTCGTACCGAGTATTGTACCAGGGATGATCAAACTGTTGTCAGAAATAAGACAATTGCCAATTCAAATTAATCACAATCTAAAATACTGCATAACATTGGCGAGAAAAAAAGAAACACCCACTTTATTTCTTTGTGATAGTTGCAATAACATGATGATTTTATCACGTGTTTGACATAGGTCTAGTTTCAACGTTTTTCATAATAAGCTTAGGTCAGAGCAAACAAATTAGAAGCGTGGACAAGACAGATAGAGGGCGCCAGTTGCTAGGGTCACCAAAAGTTCACGATCAATGCGATATCAATAAAATTTATTACAGCCATTAGGGACGAAATATTGTGCCATTCCGACCCTCGCGGAAAGTCCTTTGATTGGACAAACATTGTGCGAATCCTAGGGACTACTGCACACACTTGAAAATATACAGACAAATTGTGTATAATGGATAAATACAGAACAATATAGGCCATTATATTGAGCTAGATAGAATATACTAATAATAGTAAATTTAACAAGTGGAATGTGGGCGGCAAAATGACGCTACAACTGTAATAAATCACATCGCTATCTGATGCAAGTGACGTAAGAGTCCCCAAGAATTTGTGTTAGCCTTATCGTATATCTAGCCTTTAATCTGGGATTTCTAATTCAATGATACTATACATACTAAATAAAACATACTTAGTACTGATAATTGTAATCGTTTCAACGTTTATTTATGACAAATATTTAAATGTATAACATAATCGTTTAAAAAATATCAATAGTCCCAAATTACAAGAGATAATTAGCGTTTAAAAATCAAACATGTTCAGTCCTAAAAGTAAATAACGAAAAACATTTTGCCTTGTAAATTATGTGTGCAATTTAATTTAGGCAACAGGTCCTTTCACAGCAGGTCAGTACACAGGACAGAGGGCGTGCGATACAAACAGAATACGCAATAAATATATATTCACGTAAATAAAGGCTGGCGAGTAATACTGCCCCGTCAACTGTTTGTACGAATAAATAAACATTGGAGCAAATTAAAGAGGGCGATGAAAGAGGGTCGGCGCGACCTCTGCGGAGATGGCAATTTTTTTCCCTTAAACACGTATTTAATGGCACACGCGTCCTTTGCGATTTATTGCCTCGATTTGTTTGTATGGAGACGGCTTTCAGATGTAATAAATAAGTACATCAAAGCTCACCTACTTTATTATGACGTATTATTTATCTTTTTCAAATCAGAGTACTTTGGATCATCCTGTGGTTATATACAGTATCAGAAAGTAGTACAGGGTGTCTCGTAGTTAGTTACATTTCATTACAAATGCACACAGTATGATTACAAAACATTGATATAAAAGTAGATGTTGCACTTTTCTGTTATCAGATCTTGTACTACATGTGTTTACTGCATTGATAGTCACTTATCAATCATAAACTTGCCTTCAAACGATAATTACCATTGATGATTCTTGTTCCTTGTTACATTTTATATTTATTTTAATTCTTAACTCGATAAATATAATATTATATTAGCTTTTGGGATATGTAAAAACCATATTTGATTATATGCATTGCAAAAAAAAGTCCATTGCATTTTTAATTTAGCAAAGACTATGTTAAATTCATTTCTCTCTATATCTCTTGCACTAAAGACAGTAAGTTAATAACGTAAAATAAAACGTGTATATCAGATGTGACACTTACTGGGGTCTTTAACAGCGGTGATGACTAGCTTGAAACCATTGGCGTCTGTACCCCAGTTGTCAGTGACGTACTTGAGGGTGACGAAGTTGCTGCGGGTGAACAGCGCCCCCACCTGCTGCTTGGTATTACGACATGACAGGTCCGCCTGCAACACACAACACACAACATAAGTCATGATGAACTTTGATAGTTATTTATTGAATTTATGTAAGGACCGGATGGTGGTTAGGTTAGGTTAGTGGTGTGTTATGTAGGAAACAGTTATCGACCACTAATTAACTGCACGCTGTATTATAATAAACTAACATAAGTTTGACTTAATTGATAAAGATTATAGATTTATAATAAGGCCGAACACATAATTTCTATCAGATAACGATGTGATTTATTACTCTAGTGAAGAAATAGTAGTACTGTTAGAACATTACTGGGTAATTACGTCATAAAACATATATCAACTAACAGAAACATGTTTGCTTTGTATTCGAGATGCGAGCGTCAAAGCTATCTCGTTATTTATAATGTTATGTTGTTGATGAAGACGAAAGACGCGTGGGAATCGTCAGCCGGCACGCGGCAAGCGGCGCGACACGAAGCTTAATGAAACACCAACAAGGAACTAACGACACAGTCTTCTTGAATTCTTAGAGGCCTCCCCCGCCTTTTACCAGCATCCTAATGAAACAGCTCTGATATTACTGCTGAGCCGATAACACGAGCGCTCAGTCGACAGCCGCGCACTCTGTGAGCTTCTTAATTAACTAATGAATTCATATACTCAGGAGCTAAGATGTACGCGGATTACATCGTTATCTTAAAATGTACATTATGTTTCATCAAATTAAATCAAATAAAGTGAACTTCAAGAACGTCACTCAAATTGACGAAATTATTTTGTTTACCAAAACTTGCCAAATATAATATTAATTTAATCAGCTTAAACATGTTTCGAAACAGTTTATCAAAATTTTCTTCACTTCGATACTCGAAGCGAACTACCAAACTCTAAGTACAAAGTGAACGGTTTTGCGAGTGCTTCAATATAATATCGACAAAAACACGTATCTACAGTATATAATGGCATGTAATAGAGTGGAGGCGCGTGCGGGCTGCGACCTAAGCGCCCGACAGCACGTGCGGCCCACGAGCTAAGCGCCCAGGCGCCGGCAATATTTTCTTCATCGAAGGAGGCTTAGTGGAGCTATAGCTGCGGTCTATCGTGTCATTTTTCACGAAGACGTGACGGAGAGCGTTCGGAGAGCGCCTCCTAAGTCACCCGATATCTCAACTCCTCCCCAACTCTGGAAAGGGGGAGCCTTGCATCAAAGGCACTGCACCGGACTTTTGCAGTTCTTATTCTGCTCTTTTATGTAAAGTTTAATAAAGGACGACCCCCGGGTTGATATTAAAATTCCTCTCTATAACATTTTTCAGATTACAGATAGCGCCAGTATGCACACCGCGCCGCGCGACGTCACCGCAGCCTCCACTGCGAGCTGGCACAGGTATAGAATGAGAATTTTATTTATCGATGTCCTCGCATACAATGGCTATAGAGAAATAGATATTGGAAAAATGTAAAACGAAAACTACAAGAACGATCTTAAACAAGCATTTCTATACAGCCTTATAAAATAGTATTTACTTAATAGTTTCAGTTCAAAGGTAGATATTGACTCTTCAAAGATTAAATAAGAAAAACTACAGATGAAAATACTACTGTCCGCTTTAGACTATTGAATATATCGACATTTCCTTTCAAACACTAAAAAAGGTGTTCTGCCAACGAAAAAACAAAACTTGCAATGCCTTAGACTTGTTTTCTTCTTAGTTAGTAACTGGCTGTTGTGATTAATTAAATTTAACATCTCATTTAAATCGAGAAAATATGAATTAATTTACAGCGATTATCGAACTCCGAATGATATTTGATTTAACAAGAGAAATTAATAAAATGAAACGTAAATAAAAGGTTTAACGAGAGTCGGTGAATTTTAATTGGAGCGGATTATGTCGACGATACAATGAAAGCTATTGAATTTTATTAATCGCCTTATTTTACGTTACTTATAATACATTAATTTTTTATAGTTATATTCATTTTAGATTTCTACTATATGATTTAAAAAAGAGCCTGCATTTTGTTAATATTAAAATAAAGCTTTAAATATAATGCAGCAATTGAGAAATGTATAAAAAAACTAACACAATCTTTAACATGACTAATAATTCTGTAGACGGTTTTAAAGTTGTCCGGAGTATTGGCTAAATTATGATTCATACGTTCCTAGTGATAGCTGCTTATGATTCAAGGCGTGTCACTGTGGTGGTCGTAGCATCGTCTACATCATGATAACTTATAACAGACTCCCAGTCACGCGCCAGCCCTGAGAGCCGTCCGCTACGATCTGACACCACTAACTTGTCAAACTTAGTTCGGCCCTGTATGCCGACAAGTGAACTTGAAATTTTGACATACATTTCTATTAAATACATTTTGTCACTGTTAAACAATGAATTTTATTATTATTAATAGTTTTTTTTTTAATCTTTGTCTTGTTGTTATGTTACCCCTCTACTATTTGGTTTTTTAATAAATTTTAACAGAATTTTAATTTTAAATCTCTCTTAACGTTTTCTTTTCTATTCTTACTATAAAAGAAACTTGCAAATAAGTAAAAGCCAAAAGAAAGTCAAAGTATAAAAGTACAAAGTAAATACATTGTTTGTTCATTTTCCCATATTTTCATATCAAAATCTCCCAACGGATTGTGATTAGAATTAAACTCTGACTGAACTATTTGCAAATCACTTATACATAATATGTAAATAGGTTTAGGTATTGGTAAATATGCTTACGATATTGATACTAAGTTCTGTTGCAAATCAAGCAAATAGTAAATATTCAAAGCGGACCACCAGGATGACTGATTTGAAGTTAGTAACAAAAGTTGGTAGGCGGGTACTGTTGATTGTCGCAAGCTTTGTGCGGTGTGAACATAGTTGCGGATACTTCGCATCGCACGTGGCCAAACTTTACCCTTTGTCTACCTAATGAATTCTCAACATTGTTTTAGTTTCGCTAAACTATAAAACTATTGTTGTACGTTTACACAGGGTGCTCGGGAAAATCCCCTTTGCTGAATAACATCACGAAAAGCGAATATATTTGACTACATTTTAACATCTATACTAATTTTATAAAGAGGAAAAATTTGTATATTTTATTTAACGAATAAACTCAAAAACTACTGAATCGATTTGTTAAATTCTTTTGTCATTAGTAAGCAACATTATCGCTGAGTAATATAGGCTATATTTATTATTAGTATTTTTTTTTAATTCCCATCGCACGGTGTCGGAAATAAAAGGCACTTTCTAAATATAATAAAAGTAGACTTGTATCCTTTATTGCATTTATAATTACTGTGTATAACATGCATAACTTGAATCAAAGGTTTATTAGTTTAAATTAAACCAAAGCTACGTATTGACGGAAATTTCCATTGGAGTAATATGTAATCAAAGTTAGCAGTTGTGGCGGCGCTGAGCGCTCATGGTCCTGTATCCCGGACCTCAATGTTAATTGACTCGATAACTGCTCTGAGCCGGCGACAGGAGACTGATATTATGGGACACTGTTAAGTGGCTTTCTGTGTAATCTGTTAAGATATTAACGTTGTACTGTAACTGTAGTATTGGGAGAAATGGACTATACTAGTCTGAGCACTGTTTACGATTGAATTTGTCTTAGAATTAAGGAATTGTTAAATAAAAAATATTTTCAATTTTAAGCACAAGGAGGAGGCACAATGTTATGCAGTTAAGTAAATACAGAGACTGAAATTTCGTCACAAATGTTAAACATTTCAGATCAAAGCATAACTCTGCAACATTTTCCCTTATTTTGTGAGAGTCCTGTGTGCAGTCTTAGTATAAACTATCCCAAGGCTGGCGTTCCAGAATGTCTCCTTATTTCACCTTTGATGTAAAGTTGGAGAAAGATTAAATGTCAGTTAACTAAACATATCCAAAAATTTAAATTTTGTAACACCGTTTCGCACTCTTTCTGTAGTTTTTTTCTATGTATTAAAAATTGTTTAATAATCCCTATTTGGCCGTCTATTTCATTACAATTGTAAATGAATTTGATATATTCCTCTTATTGATAGTTATAGCACAGCCATGAAAGCTTGTCGCGTTTGTCCAATACAATATGCGAAGCGCGGTTATCATTTAACGCTAACAATGTTGCAATTTGCTTTGTACATCGTTTAACTAAAATGTACATTATAAACGCAATTGTTCTGGCCGAGCGCTTAACTAATCACCCACCGCCCACCGTTCACCGCTCACCGCCCACCGCTCGCCATCCACCGCTCACCACAGCGTCATTTCATAATTACACATGGTTAAAATTAACGGCTACAATCAATGCATCGATTGTTAAACAGATTCAAATTATTGTGAATGCTGTAACCAAATGTTTAGTTTTGCCTTTAAGTCGCACAAATTGTTGTTATAAATGAAATTATGTATTTATGTCACATTTATGATATGATCAAATTGTTCTACAATGAAAATAGTCTCCATATTCCGTTTAAATAACATTAAGACGGTGACTAGTTTCTTGTAAAGTTATTCAACATAACTGGTTTTGATTAGGTTTCACATAAAAAGGAAAATTATCGAAAATTAAAAAAATAGTGTTGAAAATAAAGATAAAAGGACTTTAAGAGTGATGTTCAGAATTATGCGCAATAATTAAAATGTGAACATTGGTGCGAAAATTAAATACAAAGATTTAGCAAAGTAAGAACAGTCTGTGATGTGAGACGGCTCGCTGCGACAAGTGCCCACTTAACAATTAAAATACTTTAATTTGGCGGCTCGAGTTGGCGAGGAGCTCGAGTTGCCAAGGTTTCCGAGTTGCCGACTCGCTCTTGTCTCGCGAACTTTAGTGAAACGATACGCCGGTTACACTCCCGACTCATTCCCGGCGCCAATCTGAATTGTTACTTTAAATTAGTGGAAACTTCGACGTCCCCCGGACCGTAACAGATAAAGGAAAAGATTCTAAAACATTCCAGTATTACGAGGATCTTTTGTTCGTTTTAAACTTTTTAATTTATTTGTTTTAACTCGGAGATATCTGTGATTCAAACTGAAGTTTTCAAGATTTTTACCTATTTATTTCTTATTAAGTTTACCGATACTTAGCACAGTAACATGTGGACAAGGAAATGGGGCGAACTTGTCAATTTTAGATGCACCCATATTTCTTTAAATTTAATGTTAAGCTTAAAAAGCACTTTCTCGTAGAAAGTACTTATGGAAGGAACATTTCTTAAAAGATACATTTTGTTGAAACATTTCGTTAATTTTCTACAAATTTTGATTCTACGCAAATTACAAAGAAGTGAGTAAAGCAACACCTCTATATTATAAAGCAATCAAAGAGTTTCCACTGCCGAAACAACGTTCAAAAACATGTTAATATTTCTGTTCTATCAAAGTGATTGACAAGTGCTGGTGTGGAATATATTAAAAACGTTGAATGCAAGTTAAAATTTTTGTTCCTAAAAAATGTTCATAACGTCCAACCAAACCGTAAAAAACAATGTTACCGTGAATTGTTCTACGCAAAAAGTGATGTGAAATCCGTAAGCCCGGAATACGATTGTGACATCGTCGACACCGAATCGAACTGTTTCAACAATTTCTTTTCAATTGGACCAATTCAAAACAGTACAATTGTGTAGAATATTGTCGGTTTTACACCAAAGGGATTCCTATGTAATCGTAATATTACTATCTTGTAAACTACAGACTAAAGACGTCATACTAACTTTTCGATAGAGATAAGATAACACTGTACATAAATACATCTGTAGATAAGTAATAACATGTTAATATTGGTTGTAATGTAATTTAATAAACAAATTACAACACAAAGTACACGCCTTTGTAAAGACTTTAAAACTCGTTAGAGGGGGAAAAACTTTTATTTTTTTTTGTGCAAACGTTAAGATATGCAAAACAATCAATAAACTACTAGTTAAATGTCTATATATAACCTTGATAGAAATATCTAAAGTTATATATCTGTAAGCTGCCATTGTAATACAAAGGCGAGGGTCGCTTGTTACAGGCACCCCCCGACAGAGCTGGGCAGGGCAGTCGCCGTAATAAGTCTGTGCGGTTCAATGCGCGCGGCCCGGCCCGCCTGCCCGCCTGCCGCCTCAGCTTGACTAATTGTGTGTATTTAGGATAAGGAAAAATAAATAAAGGCACACCGCAAAAGAAAACTACTCCGAGTCCCATAGGTATTTCGCAGAGCCCCGAAACAGAGGTAACAGGAGGTCCTTTGTTCAAAGAACCGTCACGAGTGCAAAGTTGTCGGATTTGAATTTAAAATGCGCAAAGTTGCGTCCCTCACCGTGTGTTAATTATTTAGCGAGCGGCCGCGACACCTGTGCCCCCCTGCCTTTGTCCTGTCTCCTTATCAACTCTCTCATGCCAAATTAAATATTTATTATTCAAGAATTTCTTGCCCAAACCTTTTGGACTCTGGATAATTAATTTTAACCACAACTTGGAGTAATTTAATATTTACAAGATGAAATACGATGCAAAGTCTTTAAACTCGGGAGTTTAGGTTTTCAGGTACGTCAGTAAATTAAAGTAGTAATCAAGCGGGAGTTGGACTGAGCGGAGACTAATCGTCTTAGAGAATAGCTGCGGTTAGTGAGTCAGTGATACTGGGTTACTTTACTGGCTTCTTTTAAAAGTAATTGTACACGCAAACGTGATTCAAACGCAACCTTTCACCTGGATACTAACACGATGAATTATTACCAAGCGGAAATTCATTCGTTACCCAAACCTAATCACGTATTATTATTTTACATGATTAGGTTTGGATAGCCAGTGACAAGCAGATTTTAACATCTAAATCAAATTATTATGGGCAATTGCAAGTTACCACATCTACAACAGCCAGTATAAAATCACCAGACGGCGCAATTAAGTTAAATGTTAAGAGCGCTTAAACCATTGAATCGCTACCGCACTGAGTTGACTAAACGCTGTTCTCAAAAGTCAGTTGTAATTGAACCAGGGCGGGCATTCCTCGCAGTCTCATTAGCATACCATCTCAGAGGGTCTTTACACAAACTAACGAGCAGCCGCACCCGCAGCGATCGGGAACAATCAGGGATAATCGGCCGTCTCCACGATAATTGCCGCTCACGACTTCTTGGAATGTCTCCAAATTGAAAATAATATCGATGGAATCCTCGCTAATACCAATTCAAAATGATATAACTCTCCACTTGAGAGCTCCGGACACAGAGGTCGTGGACCTCGCGGACCTATCTGGGAACATAATTGAAATGTCATCGCGCTCTGTCGCAGACACCACAACTCTATATTAAGGGGCTTTAGATTCCGTTACGTCTGACTAGAGCATTTATTGCAATGCATATTCTTGCGGTAGTTCAATTTCAGTGGCATTGGTTTTGAATTTCACAGTGGGATTAACAACTAAAAATAAATTGAGGATAAAGTTATTGACATCAAGCTTATAGAAATTATTTCAATGAAGACAGACCTTAGGTGGGGCGGTGGCGTGCGCGCCGTCGTAGACGTATAGGTGGTCATTGCAGTCAAGCTGCAGCATGTCAAAGTGCAGCATGAAGCGCTGCAGGATGCTGTGCGTCTGGAAGGTGACGGTGCAGTCGAGGTTGCGTTCATTGCGCGACCACAGCACGCCGCCGTCCAGCTTGCGGTACTGCCGCTGCAAGAAGTGGTCCTTGCACAACGAGTCCATATAATCTGGGGACAATCACAAATATAATTTTAATATAATCATTGATAAAATTAATTTTGCTTATAATTCAGCAATCCCATCATCTAAAGGAAACCGTCAATTAAATAAAATTTCATAACTTTCTACAGCATGAGCCAGTCAGATTTTCTTTCTTTTCAATTTTCTGATCGTCCCAGATCGACTTGGCTACGAAACTATTGATGATAAAATATGTTATCAGTTATCTGGTTGCGTTTATCTGGCTGTACGTAGACGCACTCGGGCAGTGCAATCTGATCAAGACGCTAGCTCGCCTCCGTAAAGGCGACGGTGAAAGTTTTTTTATAATGATCAATATTAGTTTACTTTAGTGTTATTCCATCCGCGGTCGCGATGTAAGTACATCATTACAACAATATTAACTTTAGTTTATCTCAATTAAAATTTATTGACGTCATTGCCCTTTACCTAAAAGTGATACCTAATCCTTCCATAACTCATTTATTGTGGTCTTATTAAATTTATAATATTTCTTAGTTTCCTTCATTTTTCCTCGACACCTCCCCTTCCCCGCACTCTTATTTAGGCTAGATTCGAGCCCCTCTCTGCGACTAATAAAAGGAAAACTAATAACGAGATTAAAAAATAGAGGTACATCTAAAGTATTTATAAAATAATTCGATTTCTATTCCAGGAGCGCCTGCAGCGTCTTCTCGTTCTTCACTCTGATACTTCTCTTGACGAGCACGTCATCTGCCCCAACTCCTCGCATCCTCGGCACGCTGGTGACAGGGGAGACGACCGGCCTGGAGATTCCGCGAGATCTCCTGGCCGGGATAGGAGTAGGCAAGGGAGCCATTCAGATAGTTGTCAACGTTCATACAGACAGTCAGGGAAATATTGAAGTGTTCACAAATTGAAACAAACATGAAGTGATAATGATGATTTGATAACGCAGAAACAAGAAATATTGTACCCAAAGACAGATGCTCGCAATTTGGATGGACAACTCTTTGACTGACGGTGAATCCTAGTTGTGATATGGCCTAGTTCTTGATTCATAACAACTACTGCAGATAAAGTTTCTTTAATGAGACGTTATTTAAATGGTGTTTTACTCTACTAAACCGAGGCGTCTAACTCTAGAATCAAATAAACGAAGTTAAATATTGGTATTACATTAACAAAATATGCGTGATTTACAAATGACAAGCTTCGGAATTTCCTTCAAAGGGATATTGAATATCAATTTATGATGTCAAGTGGAGCGTCACAATGTAACATATCAAATAACGCCGCATCATCTCCCATATCGAGTCGCGCACAAGTCAACGGGAAGGGAAGGGAAGGGAAAGGAATGTGTGACACTAATATTCGTCAAATTTGAACGTTAATGTGTGTGGCCGGAATCGTCTCACGTTCCGCCTCTCAGAGATATGAGGGGCTTATCGTATCGACGCAAAGAAATCGCGATAAAGGCAGAATTTCTATGTGAAGTACGATCGGGACGTATTTATTGCTCGCGACTCGCACGCCCGCGGAATACTTACACGCACATATTGACATCTCGGTATAAGTTTTATAGGCGTTTTGTACTCTTATAAGTCTTACTTATTGGTATAAATACAATAATCAGGACATGATAGAACGACGTGAAAATTATAAATCAAGGGTTTTATTAACTACACGAATTTGCTTACAAAATTTATTTAATTTTACATATTGAGACCTTGTTAAATTGTTATATTCAAAAAAAGTAACTGGTAAATACTTTGGAGATTATAATTACTAGTATAATGCTTACAGTTAAGTTGAGCGGTTACTTTTTATTCAGTCTTTGATGAGGCCTTTGACGTGTATATGCATTAAAAAAATGTAAAAACAATCCTAGTATAAGAGTAGAGAAACAATCGAGATAATTTACCTCAAACATTTTGAAGTTATTTATTATTTCGTAGAACTTAAAAAAATACTACGTTAAAGGAAATATCGTGACGTTTTAGAGAATAACTAAAACAACATTGATATAATTAAAATAGATATGTTGTACAACTAATCACACACAAAGACAAACATTTGTGACGCTTCGTCAAATATCATATTATTGGCAAACGAAGCCTAGTTCTATGACTTTTATTTGTTGCACTTACTTAATTGTTACTATTAAGATTGGAAAAAAACATTTTTATCTCGATAAAGTAGTTTTTAATGTAAGTCACAACAAATGTATGTTGAAAATATGTTTAAAATGATTACATTTTTGCAACAAGAGAACGTTTGTTGAGATATAGTACGAAATAATTTGTATAAGATATAAATAACTTTTTTTTACAATGTTAATAAATTAAATTAAAACGATTATCTTGAAATATTTTTCCCAAGTTAAATAAGAGAAATCCTACCAACAAACCTTCCAGAGAAAAAACAAGCAAAGAATTTTCAATCAAAGGCGTTGATAACATTTTCAATGAAGACAAAGCGCAGAGAGCACAAAGAGAACGGGTTAAAAGAAATATTTTTCAGAGTCTAAACACAACGTCTTTTATTATATATCTTTAATCTTTGTAAACTCTGAGAGATATTTAATTATTAGGGAACTTTTTAAGAGCAAAATAATTGAGTAAAATGTAAGTAAGTAAGTAAGTATTAGAATTTGGAGCAATATAGCGCTTATCTCATACGTTGTATGGATTATCCAAATTCACCGATGTTAAACGATCAAGATTTGTGTTCGAAGCCTTCCTTGTTTGAGACTAACACAAAACAGTAATTCTGGTTAGTTTTGGGAATTGCGGCTTGCGTCATTCGCCGAAAAAACGAAGCGAGCGCTGTCGTTGCGATGACAAAATGCGTTGTATGAAAAATATTTTTACAAAGTAATAAAATAAATCGTAAGCGTTATAAATATAATAACTTCATTCAAGATTATCTTATAACATTAATTATAGATATACCGATTTATTAAAATATAATCCATGCATGATGTAGTTGAAAGAAATTAAATGTCGCGCAAATATTCGCAGTCCAGGTCTACTGCTGCCGCTGGCGCGCCGCTACGTTGTCAGCAATACCCGCTTATCGGCCTGTAAAAGACGTATCAGCTAAGCCGTCTTTTCCAAAACGGATTTGCCAAACAGTTTTTACGTTTGGTTAAATTTAGGTGGACTTCTCAAACGAAATAAGTATATACATAATCTTTGTATAATATTATATACACGCTTGAAAGTTTTTTAGCCACTTCTATCCATTTGAGGGTATCACACATTTCTTATCTGGTATCCAAATGCATAAGAATATTGTGCTATTCATAATTTCTAGGAGTTTTTGAACCATAATAGACATTCTTAAACACTATTATAATAAAAAAGAACGTAATTAAATTAAATTTTAATATAAAAAAATATCACAATATGAATTTCTTATATAGATGAAAAACTATCGAAATCATATCGACAATATTTATTACATAGAACAAGAACATCACTAGCGGCAAGTCGAATACAGAGTTAATGGAATGGGATTTACGAATGAATTTCAAGAAAATAATCTCGATTCTGTCGAAACGCGCTGAGAGACGGAAATGAAAAGGAGCGAGACAGCTTCGTCGGGTGACAGCCGTCTCGCTCGGACACACAGCGCCCCCTGGCGACGCTTTACGCGGCCATAGAGCTTGTGAAATAAGATACTAGAAGTAGCGTGTCACTTAATCCAGTTTACAAAGTTAAAAGACGCTTCCTATTTTTAGATTGCAAAATATGTTTTACCATTTTATAAAATAAATTAACTTAAAATATCACATTATTTATTTAGTCATTCTTTCGTTATTTCTTACATATTATTCTTTGGAATACAAAACAGGGAAAAATGTACTCGTATTTTGTTTATAATTATCAAAACATAAAAGAAATATGTCCGCGGCATTGTTTATCAACAATACTTTTCCATTGAGTTTATTCTTGATAAGACATGAAGTAATGGATTAAAAGATTAATTTCATGAAACTATTCAACCGATGCTACAAGTCGCGGATTAATACATTATGATTATCTTGTATATATTATACAACAACAATATAACTCACGCCTGTAGCTCAGAGGGGTTGGCAGATACCATTATACAAGAAAATTAATTAAAAATGCAATTTCTGAATTGATAAAAAAAAGAAGTTTACTCTTTAAATCTGTCTAGATGTCTTTAGATCTAGAAGAGAATGAAATGGTCGTCACCGATTCGTATCTTCTATTTACAGAACAAAACGATTTTTTTTCAAATGATACTTCATGATAGTTTGTTGATATGCTTCTTAACTTATGCTACCTAGGAGTTATTTAAATATATTTGATGTCGCAATTTCGTATTCTAAAAAATTATTATGTCAATAAATCGATCACTTCCTGGCCCGACATTTAAGCAGCGTCTGCTAACTGAGGAGGTCCGCGCATAAAATTTTGGATGGAAATTTTCCTTGGCCCAATGACGGCCGTTGTAATTACATTATTAGACATCTCTCTTTTTCGCTCCATAAAATTGCCATTGCTAAGTTTAATGTGCCAAATTACCGCTTCAAATGGAGTTTGTGAATAGCAATACTCTGAATATTAAAAGATGTACTTAGTACAAGTGGTTACGTCAATAAAAGAATCTTATGGGACATTATATGTACCAATTAGCGTAAAGACAAAGGTAAAGTAAAAAGAAACGTTAACGTATAACGTTATAAATGCACACCTAAAAAATCAACTATAAAATATTACATTGATATTAAGCTATCTATTAACTGCTAATGTCGTGGGGCTTGAACTAACATTGCCGGACGGGTACTCCCGCGACCGCGCGTTGCATTACAAGCAAAATGTACCAGCCTCAACTAAAATGCGATACGATCCGGTCTCCAGTGTCACATGCCAAGATATCATGTTTTTACATTCTGCACAAAATATCCCTATATTTATCTGACCAAGTATAAGAAGCATCGCAATGTTTGCAATCCTATATTTGTCTTGGATAAAATCACTAATTTTCTGAA